AGAATGCGCAAACTCTTTTGCAATCGTGATATCAATATAAAGTTACGAATACGAATGCTGCGGTGTTATGTCTTTTCTACCCTGTTATATGGAGTTGAGGCTTGGACACTAAAACAGTTGACCATAAAAAACATCGAAGCTTTCGAGATGTGGTGCTATAGGCGCATTCTCAGAATATCATGGATAGACCGCGTCACTAACACGCAAGTACTCCAAACTTTAGACAAAAGATGCGAAATTCTAAATGAGATAAAAACTAGAAAGATGGAATACTTGGGGCACATTGTGAGAGGTGAAAAGTACGAACTTTTAAGAAACATCATGCAGGGCAAAAGAAGTGTGGGAAGAAGAAAAATATCGTGGCTTCGTAATCTACGTGAATGGTTCGGGTGTAGTTCGATTGAACTTTTTAGGCGCGCTGCTAACAAAGTCGCAGTGGCCATGATGATTTCCAATCTCCGCTAGGAGTGGCACGAGAAGAAGACAGCCAAAGACCGACATATGTGAAATGTGCAAAAAATACAGACTGACGGAAAAAGCGAACAGATTAAATCCGGATGATGAACAAATGTTTAAGTTATACATTGAAAACAAAGAAATAATGAGAAAATAACGTGCAGCTGATAAGGTCAAATGTAACAAAAGTTGTGTTACAATATGTCTTGATTTACAAAATGTTAATTAATTTACCGAAGTCAGATGTTTCTGTGGTATTTTATAAAAAGAAAATAAATGTTTACATACGTCACTGCTCACACTTCCCTTGATAAAGCTTGCTTATGTACCGTCTCGCCGAAAACATTGTGCGGAAGGGCTGGTAATGACATTGCCAGCGCATTCATAGAAATTTTGCAGATGTTGGTATCTCATCATACAGAAATTGAAGAAATCATATGCTGGAGTGACAGCTGACAGTCAAAAGACGATAACAATGAAATATTCCTTACCTGGACATCCAGGAAATTGACAACTTTCATTCTCAAATCAACACGCGTTTGCGTGTATAAGACGTGTGGTCACCCATTTCTATCTTGAGGTTTTTAAAAAAAAGTAGATAGAAGACATCCATCATCAGTTGGCGCTACAGCCCTTCGTGAGCCTTGGCCTGCTTCAAAACTTTCTTCCATCCTTCCCTATCGAGTGTCTGTCTTCTCCAGCCCCTCACTCCAATCTCCCTCAGATCTTCCTGTACATCGTCCAGATATCTGAGTTTAGGTCGCCCCCTTCTTCTTCTTCCGTACATTTAATCTTATAGAAGACATCCATTTAATCTTATAATTATACAATCAAAATATTTCAAGAATTTAAAAAAAAATCCCAGAACTATACCACTACAGTAAAGTTCCATATTCGAAAGTTTGTCAGCTAAGATTCACTCACGGTGGAATATAAAATAAATGCACACAATTCCGAGTTTGCCAAAGCCACAATTACGAAGAAAAGAGGACGAAATTTGTAAGAGGTACTTACAATATGTCCTTGTAATAAAGAAGAACAAAATAAATTATTCACAGATAAGAAAATTGAAAGTATTCAGTTTCCCTCTCCCTATATGCACCTCGAGACCGGTAATATATGGCAGCATTGATTTCAGATTTTAAAAATGAAAATTAAATCACAGTTTGTTATCGTTTTTTCTTTGTTAAGTTTTAAGATAAGGTTAAATTTGCTTTTTTGGAAAATTATTGAAATAATTTGTATACGTTAAGAATCAGAAGGTTGCATGTGCAGTGGCAAAAGATTCTAAGTGAGCAATAATCTAAAGTAGATTGTAGTTTGTTTTGTCTTTTTATTAATAAAGTTTTAAGAAAACTGGTGTGGTTAAAATAATATTTTTTATAATTAACTTTTTTAGTTATTTTATTCATACAGAACCAGAAGGTTCTATGTACAGTGCCACAAGGTTCTAAGTCCATTTTTACATTATTTTGATATGCTCAATTTTTAATGAAAAAATAAATTTTATCTTAACATTTATGTGTCATGTAAAGAAATGTCTAAACTTTATTTTGCAACATTTAGTTCAACATACTGTGATCCTGTGATGTTCTAAACTTTAAATTTGCTCTTCCGTCAAATTTGTGAGTTAGAACCCTCTGGTTTTCAGGTCAAGTAATATACAGGTCAATTAAGTTGGTTTTTAATAAAAATAAACGGCGACTTAACTAAAAATTTGTACATCCCGTAGTCATTAGCTGCTTTGTTTTGGATAATTTTGCAATGAAAACACGATAAATGTTATTATTTTAATGTGGCACTCAAGTTAAAAAAAAAAACAAAGAACAAATTTGATCCAACAGAACCCGAGATATGTAATTTTTTCCGAGAGCTCTATTTTGAGATTGTGTTGGAATTTTTGAAGAGCACGGCTGATCCTTCAGTCGGCTACCCTCACTCCTTTAACTTTATTCGGAACGCAAAGTACTCTTTGTTTACAACACCCCTGTAAACAAATTTCAATAATTTTGATTGCTTAAAGTTTTGTTAAAAAATTTGACTTTTCTTATAAAAGATAAGTTAATTACAGCACTTAATTAACGTAACGAATGAATTATAAAAAATTAATGAATCCCTAGATGAGAGTCTTTTTGTAATAATTCATAAAACCCGTCTATATAAAGTGTTTCCCAATAAGAACGTCTTGTTTTTGAAATGTCATAGCGGTTATTTTGAAAATGATAGAACTGTCACTTGTTGACGTTTCTATTTAGTATACTCTAGCAAATTACCATGGCAAGATATACGCTTGAATAACGTTTGGAAATTATCCTAAAATTTTGTTAATAAATAAATAATAAAAGTAAAATTTTAATCGTTTTTTTGTGAATACCTATCGTACATTACGTGAAAGATATGGACCAAATCATCGTACTGACGTGCGTGTAATTCGTCGAATTGTGGAAAAGTTTGAACGTGAATTTACTCTGCAGGATACGAAACTACCAACTAGACGCCGAAATGCAAGAACTCAGGGCAATATTGCTGCTGCAAGAGCCAGTGATTTAGGCCTACACCCTTACAAGATTGTTCTGACTCAAGAACTAAAGCCACTTGACCATCATAAGCGTCGTTTGTTCGCTGATTGGGCTCTAGACACTCGAAAATGATGGCGACTTTTTAAAAAAAATAATCTTTTCCTATGAAGTTCATTTTTGGTTAAACGGTTTTGTGAATAAGCAAAATTGTCAACATTAGAGTGAAAATAATCCACATAAGATTTTTGAGAAGCCTTTGCATCCAGAAAAAGTCACTGTCTGGTGTGGTTTATGGCATGGTGGCATCATCGGACCTTATTTTTTCGAACATGGTGTAACAGTCAACGGTGAAAGGTATCGAACGATGATAACGGATTTTTTGTGGCATAAGTTGGATGAAATGGATTTAAATGGCATGTTTTTCCAACAGGACGATGCCACATGTCACACTACAGCTCCAACCATTGATTTATTGAAGGAAAAGTTCCCGGAAACATTGATTTCTCTTGATGCCAGAGATCCCAGGAGAATTCAGCAACTTCGACCAGATGCTTGACCTCCAAGAAGCTGCGATTTAACACCGTTGGATTATTTTTTATGGGGCTATGTTAAGTCATTGGTCTATGTAAACAAACCACAATCTATTAAAAACTTGAAGAGGAACATAGAGCACACTGTTGCGTAACAACAATATTTAATATTTTTAGTTTATTTTTGTATCATATTATTATATCATACTGTATATTAGTTTAGATTTATAAAATTTCTTTGTACCAACTAATAATCTGTAAAGCGCCGATAGCTTGCATTTAAATAACTTTCTACACAAGTTTCTAAAACCTTCATAGAATCGTAACAATGAAAGGATTAGTATTTTCCAAATTATCCGTTTGACTCATTCGAAAATTTCGAAAGTTTAAACAAATACCCTTCTCAGGTTTTTACCCTTCTAGTTTTTACCAATGAATTGAAAGTCGAAGGTATTTGAAATGTAAACATATCCTTAAAATACGTCGAGGGGCTCAGGGGGGAGATTTCTGAATGTTAACAAAAATTACAAGCCGAGTGATTGAAAGGAGAGAGTGGACATCAGTTCGCAGTTCAAGTCAGTACAGTATCAGTTCAAATTCCAGCATCGAAAGAGCGCTAGGCTTTACTCGCCCCAGCGGCATTCAGAAGGTTTAAACCAGTCGGTATATTAATAAGTTCGTGTCAATCAGTTCGTGTCAATATTGTAGCACCGAAAAGTTATCTAGTTTTATAGTTTCATAAAGTTTAGTTTCATAAATCAGCTATCGTATGCAAGTTATCGGCGTCCAAAATACGTTGTAATCGTTTAAATAGACATGTTAAAACGTTCTTTTCGAATCTTTTATTTGTTCCAGTCTTCTGGGTGGTCCTTCAAAGAAGTATATAAAGTGATCCTATTTCCCTAAGGAAAAATTCCTCAAGGGAAAAAACCAGCGACCTATGACTGGTGCGCGAAACAAAGCCATCAGGACAAGGTGTAAGGACAAACACACCTGCATCTTCGCTCACACAACATTCGTGATATTAATGCAGATATTTTGCATAAAATGACCGAAAAATTGGGTTCATCGGATTCGCTCCTGCAAACGTAGTCGCGGTGGACATTTGAATAATGTGTTATTCGGAACATAATTCTTATCTATTATATTTTGCAATAATACAATTTTTTTATTTACAGCAATAATTTTTGCCGTTTCCGTTTAAAAAAAAACAGGACATTCTTATTGGGAGACCTCTTTGTTGTGTTGAGTAAAAAACTAACTTAATTTAATTCCGTACAAGAGGAAAATACATTCCATACTACAATAATTTTACAGGAATCTGTTGTGGGAAGTGACTACAAAAAACAAAGTGATATGTCAGTACAATAGATGTCTAGATAAAATATATTTTCAAGAACATATTCTATTATTCTCTTGGCACTATCACTTAGATTTAAAAAAGTGTCCCCTGCCTTTTATCCTGACATACATAACTATCATTTTGCGAACTTACCTTTGCAAGATGCGTCAAATAATCAGCCCTCTGTTTCTGTAGGAAGTAATTTCTCCTTTGTTCATATTCCCCGAGACCCAAGTAAGGAGCGGCAGTGACTCTTAGTTGCGGATTGTTAGGGCTATACTCGCCATAACGCAACATCGCACTTTTAACGCAATCATCCTGAAAATTATGTCGGTTAATAAAAAACAGTAATCTACTCGGGAACATATCAATCGCCAGAGAACTGGGGTAGAATAAAGGCCATGGGTCAAACCTGCAGACACAAAAATAAGCCTTTAGAAGGCAAGAGCAAGAAAATCTTAATCTTAAAATATATACACATAGAGAGCTCGGGAAAAAATATTTATATGATAATCTATAGATATTAAATTATATTGTTCTGAAGCTATTTTCTTGTGGCATTTTAAATTAATTACTATTTAACTGGGAATAAGCCACAATTAAAGATAAAAATACGTTTATTGACGTTTCAATTTCCACTTCGGAAATTGAAACGTCAATAAACATATTTTTATCTTTAATTGTGGCTTATTCCCAGTTAAATATTAATTAATATTAAATGAGGAGCACACTTTCAAATCGCACTTTGTCCATATTTTCACTTTTTGACTTAGAGGTGGCGTTGGATTAGTCAAAACATCATTTATTAATTTACATACTCCTAGATATTCTAAACGTAATATTTCACGTATATTTTTGGCTTCAAAAATCACTTAGACAAACAAAACGCATTTTGTCCAGTAGCGAGAGACAAACAAATAGCGCTATTTTGCTTGCATTGCTTTTTTACTATTTAACTACTTTATTTTGCTCTGAGACGTTGATTTAGGAATCAACAGTATCTGATATTATTCGTGTTTAATAGGTTGTTTTTATAATAATAATAGGTGATAATAGTATTAAAATGAGTGAAGGTGAGCATATTGTAGGTGATACAAATAGAGGAACGAGAAAAAGAAAAATAAATACTACGACAAAAGAACGTAAGAGAGAAATAAGGTAAACTACAGGTTATGTTTTGTTTTTGTGGTTTAATTTGTTTTCTTTTAGATATTCAGATTTAGATCCAGAGTTATTGAATTTTAAAAATAATTGTGTTCACAAATCAAAAAAATTTGCATGTACAGATCTTTTCTTGGTCGACATAAAAATTATTAGACAAAATTTCTATGATAATGAAGAAAAGAACAAAAATGCTCAGGATAACAAATTAGCACAGATGATGAATATTAAAGAATGGTAAATCACATGATTTTCACACAGAATTTTATGTAAGTTTTTATTTAAATAAACCAAGCTTTAGCATCAGTACATATTTATTTTTCGATTACACTTTGTAAGGTCTCTGATTGAGTATTTTTTAGGTTTGGCATAATAGCAAGAAAATCTTTGTTTGCCAAAAATTATTTTCCTCTATTTTTAATTGTGGTCCAAGAAGAATTCATAAGATAGTGAGAAAGAAGATGCTTGGCACTAGTATAAAAGACAATCGTGGTGGAGACAGAGAGTCCAAGAAAAATGCGCTTAAATTAGAAAGTGTCATGAAATTTATTTCGTCTTTGAAGGGCCATGAAAGCCACTATGGTAGAGGCAAGTCAAGAAGAATCTATTTGTCATCTGAGTTAAACATAAAAAAGCTGTGGGAGATGTATAATGATCAGATTCCAGATAATTCACTCCAAACAAACTACAAGTACTTTAGTCGAATTTTCAGCAATAAGTTTAATATAGGTAGATGTTATTAAAAAAATGTTTTTTATTTTTTACTAAGTTGCCCGTTTGTTTTAGCCTTTGGAAGTCCAACTACTGATGTTTGTGGCTTTTGCATAAGAACAAACACTGAGATAAATACCAACAAGGATGAAGAGCAAAGATTAAAATTAAAAATGGATTTAACTATTCATAAGACGCGAGCAAATCAGTTTTTTAAATCAATGAAAGAGGAATCTGCTGATAGCGAGGCATATTGCTTTGATCTTCAACAGGTCCAAAATCTTCCAAAGGCGCCTATTACGGAAGCATTCTATTCTCTAGCTTTTTATGCATTTTGTGTGACAGATATTTTAACAAAAACTCCTGTTTTTTATACATGGCTTGAGCATGAAGCAGGAAGAGGTGTGGTAGAAATAAGTTCTGCGTTGACTGACTTTCTAAAAGACTGATTTTGACTCAGATATTAAACATTTAAGATTGTTTTCGGACGGATGTGGGGGTCAAAATAAAAATTCCCACATGGTACATGCACTCACCTTGTGGCTTTTGAATAATGCCCCAAAAACTATTCAAACACTTACGATGACATTTCCCGTTCGTGGCCATTCGTTTATGCCAGCTGATCGAGTTTTTGGTCAAGTTGAGCTAGACTTACGTGCCCATGCTTTTATAAAGTCACCAGAAAAATATTATAAAATCTATTCTAAGAAAGGACAAGTGCGCAAGCTGGGATCTGATTGGACTTTGTATGACATAAACATGCAGCACTTCCACTCAAAAAAGTTATAGGTATCAGTGAAGCCAAAAGAATAATCATAACTCGAGGCAAACAAACTGCTGGGGAAAGTAAAATCTTGTATAAAACAGAGGTTTTATACAGAAATGATGACAATTCTAAAAAGTTTTCAAATTTAATTCAACCAAAGAAAAAACTAAGTGACATAGTACTGCCGGAATTGCCAACGAAGCATGCTGTTAAGAAGAAAAAACTGGATAGCTTATCAAAATTTTTAGTTAGTCTATCAGGCAAAGAATGGGCATTAGATCCAGAATTAATTTGGTTAGATCCAATTTTGAAGGATCAGTATGGTGAAAATGTAATTGAAAAGGACCAGACCTGCGATCAATGTGAAGATGGAGAAGAATGCTGCTGTCTTCTGGAGGACGACATACATGTCATATGATTTTTTTTACTACAGATATTGCTTTACAAACACGAATTTTCAGTTCATATTTTGATTTTAATCACTTAGGGAAAATAAAACCACATTTTGTCCTTCAAAGACAATCAAATGGCGTTTTGTCCATCATTAAAAATTTTTTTTTGAAAAAACTAATAAAGCTTGTTGTTTCTTATAAATAGGGTAAGTTGATAATAAAAAATTACATTTTTTCATATTTTGTGTTTTATTTTTAACTTTATTACTAATCGAGTAGCAGTTTTTCTCATTTCCTGAAAAATTTTAAAAATGGACAAAGTGCGATATGAAAGTCTGCTCCTCAAATTATGTTCTGTAAATTTTTAAAATTTTATCATATTCTTGTATCACTTGCGCTAACGTTCAGGTTGCTGTATAAAACACTTTTTATAACGTAGTTAATCAAACTCACATTTTTACATACATTTAAAATTAGGTGAATACCTTGCTAATAGGTTGCCAGTCAAAAAGTGACGGCAAATATTTTTACTTCAATTAAAAGTAATTAACAATCGTAAAATAGTTTCGAAACACAAAAATAAAAGTAATTAATTTTATAAACAAAAAATTTATTTCGTTCATTTCTTTTTTATATAAAATACACTGCTCATGACGTATATGCATGGTTTTTATTCAAATTAAATCTTTTTTTTTAATATAAGGATATAAGGTTGTCTGAGAAAAAAATAGTCGCAAATTAGGGATGCCAGCTATTCATGGAAGCATGAAAGATAAAGTAAAACAGAGTAAAACAAAGTGATACTATGTATATTATTACAGTATATATCAACGTTTGCTTTAAAAACTCACACAAATGACACTTCAAAACAGGGGCTTTGCTCACTAGCTCTATTTTATTTTAGCTTTGATACCTCACGTTTTTAACGGCCGGCAACCCTAATTTGCGACCATTTTTTCTCTAGCAACCTTATATCATCATATTAAAAAATTAGCTTTAATTTGATATAAAAAAACATGCATATACGTCATGAGCAGTCAGATAAAATAAAATTATTAGAATTTTTTCACCAAGTAACAAAATGCATACTTCAATGCATTTTAATGCTAAAATTGAAGGGAAAAGAGCCCAGGACGAGGAAGAATATCCTGGCTTGCTAACCTGAGAGCATGGTACAGAAATACTTCAACACAGCTATTCCGTATAGCAACCAACAAAGTCATCATAGCCAGAATCATCGCCAACGTTCGGAACGGTCAGGCACCCCAAGAAGAAGAAGTAACAAAAAACAAAATTTGTTTAATTTATTAATGTTTAATTTGATAATACAAGTCTTTCTCTTAAATTTGGTGCTTACAGAATTTTTTTAGCGTTTTTTCTCTGTTACCCTCGACGCCCAATTTGAGGCTTCGTACGTCAAAATCGGACCAATAACAATTGTTTTTGTCTCAACATATTCGTTTCTAGCTAACCTTCTTACGCCACGGCCGGATCGATAACAATAAAGATTATATAAAGTGCCCTTTGGTAATACCGCCACATTTGTTTTTTCGATGTCTTTGTATTCGTCATCCCCTCCCCTTTCCAGCGAACGCTCGTATGTCACGATCAGACCAGTAACAATAAAGATACCATACAGTGCCCCTTTGGTAATGCCGCCATATTTATTTTTTTATGTCTTTATATTCATCATACCCTTCCCTTTCCAACGAACCCTGTTACATCACGATCAGATAAGCCGTTTTAACCCCAGCCCAAAAAGCTCAAAAAATGATCAGAATAAACCTAAGAACTTCTCGAAAACTATCGGAAAATCTGGGGAAAAATCAATACTCTGTCTAACAGATGGGCTCTTATCAACTTCTTTTCGCCAGATCTGGAGAAATTTGATTTAAGGAAAATTTGTTTGCAAATATATAGCCTGTTTACTATCAGGATCCTCTATTTACTACCTCTTCTCCTCTACATCTCCTCTACGTGGACCTTAAAAAAGCTTTTATGTTTTTGTTGTTTCCAGCAAAAACTCTGGGAAGCTATCTAGAAAACAAATATTAGTGTAACCTTAATCAAGGCTGTTTAAGAGCTATACAAGAACAACACAAGTAAAATAAAGGAAGGTCAGGAGGTATCCAAGGATTTCACTATCAGCAAAGGTCTCAAACAAGGATGCTGCGTGTTTCCTACTTTGTTTAAGATCTACTTGGAGCAAGCGATGTAGACGTTGAAAAGAAAATGCAGAAACATGGGAATTCCTCTAAACGACGCAATATTGTACATATTGAGTTTTG